GAAAGCCCAATGAACCTAAAAACTGTCAGTTAATTTATGTGGGATAAGAACTTTTTCATTTGACTTGTGAGCAGTTCAGTCACAAGTTTAGTGACAGGATGAGAGGAAATGGCCTCAAGCTGTGCCAGGGGAGATTCAGGTTGGACATCAGGAAGAATTTCTTCATGGAAAGGGTTGTCAGGGGCTACCCAGGGAGGTGGTGGAGTCACTGTCTCTGGAGGTGTTTGAGGAACCACTGGATGTGGCACTCAGTGCTCTGGTCTGGGTGAGAAGGTGGGGATTGGTCCCAGGTTGGACTTGATGATCTTGGAGCTCTTTTCCAGCCTTAAAGTGTCTGTGATTCTGGTCTTTCTCCCAAGAGAAGGAAGTCCAGGCACTGCTCTCTGCTCTGAGACGTGTCTGGAATATCGACACAGAGGAACCGGGCAGCTGGTGGGGCTGTGCTCCTCCTGCCACGTGCCTTGGCAGCTGTGAGATCATTATGAAGAATCAACAAAGATAAATGATTTTCTCAGGCTGAAATAGTGATCAAGCCGTTATGTTTACACGTTTGTTTCCGGTACAGCCTCACACAGGGCTCTGTGGGGCTCTGTGCTGTGGCTCAGAGCCGCGTTTGGTGTGGCCGATGGGGTGATTCGGTGCCGGCTTTACAGCTCTGCCAGTGCCGGCTTTAATTTGAATGCTCTGCGGTACGTTCCAGGGCTGCTCTGCTCCAGCCTATTAATATTCTTTATGAACAGGATGGCAGTATTAATTTTTTCAGAAATTCTAACTCCAGGAGTGCAATAAAAAGGCAATTATGGAGCTCGCGGATACAGATTCCCCACCCCGGAATATCATTTCTGTGGTGGATTGCAGCCATGTAACTGTGATTATGATGATAGAATATAAAATAAATCCAATCCAGAATGTGTAACTGCAGCTCCTGGAATTGTTGTTGAGGAATTTAAGCAGATTGCTTTGCAAAATCTTGTGGTTACTTTCATCAGCTTTTATTTTGCTTATTAGTGTTAGGTTAGTTTAGTAATTCTTCAAGAGAGCTGCAACCACATATGCAGTGCTGATTCCAGGAATACTTCTGATCTTTTTATCAGCAAAATACTGAATTGAATGTCAGAGAAAGTTTGCTGTTTTCTTTGTACAAACATTATAATCATCTAATCCTTTATTCAAAACTGATTTAATGTGTATGATTTTAGATGTTAAGTGTTAAATGATAAAATTTTTTTTAGTTTGATTTAAATAACGTTTATAGAATATCTGCATATAATATGTTTCAACTGAAAGCAGGTTTTTTCACTGCATTAAAAAAATGCAGAACTTTATATTTTAGTTAATTTTATGGCTTTCACAAAAAACACAGTTTGAGACCTAGCAGCTGAAGGTCTGGAACATTATCTTTACCACATGGATTTATAACTTCTTCAATGTTTAGATCTTCTCTTGTAGCTGTGCTTCAGCAGTTTTTAATGGTGTAATCGATGAAAGAGATAAACTAAGTGCAGAAAAATGCATCATTGATTTTGTGATAGACTTTATTCTTCCCATTCCAACAGATTATGTCTGCTCATGGGTAGAGCAGGTCAAGAACTTTGTGGGAAAATTGATTCTATTGGAATGTGCTGGTTAACAGGAACAGAAAGGAGTCATGAAAATAGACGTGCTCTGAAAAACTTGGTTTTTCTGGCATTTCACCCTGATGAGCCACTTGAGCCTCCAGCATTGCCCAGGGAACCTCAGGGGTTTCACAGCTTGCATGGTGACAGCTGGGAAAGGTAAAGAAACGTGTTTGACTTCATGTGCAGGTCCAAGGGCTATTCTTCATCCAGGAAACATCAAAACACTGCTGCCAGCTTCAAGCACGACCTTCTTATTTCTGCTCAGTGGGAAATAAAAATGATTTCAAACTGAATTGGCACAAAAATGAATCTCAAAGTGTTAAAAAGTTGCTTAAATCAGAGGCTCAGAGATGGTCTATCGGTTTGTTTATAGTCCAAGTCTATGGAGGCTGAAGGCAAACAGAGCAGGAATTGGGCAATGAGCTGCTGTGGCAGCAGCAGCTGGAATTGGACAAAAAGATTATAATTTTGGAGAGTTTTAAATATCAGGAAGTGGAGTTTGTTATCTTTGAGAGTGAACTCCATCTCCCTGGACAGACAGCATGAGCACAGAGAACTGCCTGCAGTGCCTTGGATTTAGGGGAGGCTGCACAGCCCCATCCTTGTGGCCCATGGGGAAGAACAGTCATGGCCAATCCACCCCAGTGCTGTGGAGGGCCTGGCCAGTGGGTCTGACTGGATTTCATCCTCCCAGCCTGTGGCACGAGGGGCTCTTCCACAGTGTTCTCCTTCCATCCCACATGGGAGTTGAGGGGCACAGGGAAGGCTGAATTGGCTCTCTAAGCTGTGGAGTAATCTCACTCTGTGTAAGAAGTTTTGCTAATTATGTATGTTCAGACAGTAAGCTGAGGGTGGCTGTCACTTATTTACTGGTTTAAAGATGCATTTTGGAGACCCTGAGAGAAAACTGACTGCTCTGACTAGCAGGAGCCCCACGCTTGGTAATAGGATTTGAAAGTCATCCATCTCCTCATGAGTACTGAGCGTGCCACTGGCTCCTTCCCTCCGCTCCAGCTTCCTGGATGTGCTCTCAGCATGAATAAATGATGGGTAAGAGATTAAATATCCCTTTGATGAAGTTGGGGACAGGAGCTTTGAAATAAGTGTGAGTCGATCTGAGCGCGCTCTCGTACTTCCTGGAGTGAATTAGGTGCTATTTTCTGGTTGTCTTTGATTCTAATAATGCTTAGTCAAATATTAAGTAGACTGTTAACTGGGGAATAGCATAAGGAGTTTAATCTTGTCAGATCAGTTCTGGAGAGAGCTAAGTATTTGTGGACTTTATGGTTCCTGCATAATTTATTACAGAGTCGTATTTTATGTGTCTGTCTCTTGCACAGGTTCATCTCCAACAGAACCCAGTGTGGGGGGTAAAGGGACAGCTTTAGTCCACAGATGACAGGAGTCTGTGCCTCTGGGAAGCCTGTGTTTGTGCTTTATTTACTGTCAGACCCAGGCTGGTTCCAGAGCTGCCTGAGGAGGGGTCAGTCAGCTTTGCAGGTTTAAGGGTCAGAGTCGACATTTATTCCACACCAGTAAACTCTCCCTCAACCCACATGGTCAGAGTCACACACACGTGCAGGTCCACAAAGTCTGAAACTGAAGCAGAAATAGTCTCTTCCCTTTTTTATTTCCATTTTGACAGGAACAAAACAGTGAGAATAACAACATCAGAAAAAAATGGAGGAGGGAAACTAACTGAGACCCATAAGGAAGAAAAATAAAGGAAAAGAGGAATTAGTTTGTTCCAAATGTTGTGCCAGAGTTGTTGGGTTTTTTTGTAAAGAAACTTGCTTTTACATATTTCTGCAGGATAAGGTCTCTGGGGGAGGCAAAGATGCAGAGCCAGTGCTGTGGAATAATTGGAGGCAGAGAGATGGGATGCAGGAGACCGGGAAGCAGTGTCTGGATGATGTGCTCAGGTTATCAGTGCAGGCGGTTCCAGTGGAGGGGGGGGAATGTGTGAGTGAATGAATGAATGAATGAATGTCATTTGTCATTTGCACTAGGGATGAAACATTAAAGTACAGTCCAACAGTAGATCCCCCCAGGCAAAAACTGCTTCCTCCCCCCACTCCATGTGCTCTCCAGTTTCCAGGCAGGGCGGTTCTCAGTAATGACCCTGCAGCCCCTTCTGCCTCAGTTACCTGTGCCAGGATGGGAGATTTTGCTCTGATTAATGTGCCAAATGATTGTTGCTCTCACTACAATGCAATGTGACCCCTGCTAACCCTGTAATGGGACATTTTTGTCACCTCTCCCTCCTCTCCTCTAACAGCAATCTCTCTCTGCTGCCTGCTGGATAATGTGGATGTCCATTCACATTCTGGCTACAGTGCAATGACTTGTGCTTGACAGATCTCCTTATGTCATAGATCATCCAGGCTAAAATTTACATAGGCATGGATTAAAAGCCATTAAGCAGAAGACTTACATTCCATGTGGTTTCAGGTAGGCAAACCCCTCTCCTTATGTCTCTCTGTTTTTTAAATATAATGTAATACCAGCAAATTGGAGAAATGTAATAAAATCCAATCAACTTAATCAGGGTTGTCAAAGACTGCGGCTGGAAATCATAATCCAGATTTCCACAAAGCAGATGAGCCACAGCTGGTCTGAAAACTGTGTCTCGGTGGTTTTAGACCTTTCAAGCCAATATTGTTTCTCCTCATGAAATTTCGTTATTCCTGAAGCGATGATCTCAATTCTTTAAAGCCTACATTAGTAATCGAGTGCTGGTCCAGATGCTGGCAAAGTGAACACACACCTAATGAAAACCCTGACATGTAGTCATGGAGGGAGGTTTCTTCTCCACTGTCACCTCACAGAGGTGTTGTTCTCCTCCTGCATGGAGAGACATCGTGCCAGGGATCTGCCAGGTCCCCTGGGCATGGTCTCTGGAGGGGACATGGAGCTGTGAGGGCAATCTGTGCCCAGTGAGCAAACTATGAGTACGTATGTCCTTGCAAAATTGGAACATATGGTCCAATTAAATCCACTCAGGGAAACTTCTACATGACCCAGGTATCTAAGCATGATAATCCAAAAGATAACAAAGCTATTCTCCATTACCTGCTGCTTCTAACATTGCCCAACTTAAATAACCTTGGGAGGAGAAGCTGACCTATCCCTTGCAAATTCTGCATCATATCTGATCCTTCAGGGTTTGTGTCCCTCCTGAGTGCTCCTCCAGCCTGGGCTGACTCCTTACACCTGCAAGTTTACCTGTGTCATAGAGGTGGTTGTTTTCATTAAAAAAAAAAAAAGGTGGGTTTTTTTATGCTTTTTAAAAAGAAATGTTTAGAGTTAGGTCTGTCAGTTACCAAAGAAATATTCCTGTTTGCTTAAAATCCCGTTGCTCACTCCCATTGCATTCTTATCAGAAAGAGCTGGAGATTCTGCAGGGAAAGAAATCGTTAATCCATCCTGCTTGCCAGCCTGCCTGGTTCTGAAAGGGGCACTGTGACTTTAGCTTTGTTTTCCCAAACGACATTTGGGACCATGTACAAATTCTACAAAATTAAGCTTATTTTGAATATGTCATCAGCATCCTAATTCCATATATGTTCTTATAAAGGAATCTCACTGGAGGGGTTTCCATTAACTGCATTTGCAATGCTTCTTCCTGAATACTTCAAACCACACTCTGTCTATGCCTGTCCATCACTGAGGTGAAGCAGCAAGAAGGTTATCATATGGAAAATGTCTCACAGGTTGCATATTTAAACACTGTTTGGATCTATTTGAAGGAATATTGTGGAAAACATGGAACTGAGTGGAGAGAGACTGCAAAAATGAGACTGGTTTCACCCCAGTGAGCAAATGGCTTAAGACATCTGTGGATTGACTCAGTTAGCAAAACCAGGTGAGTGTTCAGGCACAAAATCTGCCTTCAAGGATGGGATTGGAACAGTGTGCTTGTGGGAAAGCATCCACTGAATTGATGTGTCTTCTTTTAAGGTCTTCAGTACCTTTGTGTCATGATATCTGCACTAATGACACCAGATTAGAGAAGTACCTGAGCAGGAATTTGTGCTGCTGATGGGTAATTGCTCTCCAGCTGCAGCAGTTCCTTCCTCATCTTTATTTGTGTCAGAGCAGCCACATATTTCTCCTCTTTCTAGGGAGCCAGCAGATCTGCTTAATTATTCCGTTACTGTACAGATAATAAAGGGATGAAGCTAGGCAGGTACCTTGTACTTTTGGAAATCGGTACACTAATGAGATTTTCTGCATGGGCAATTTTTGGGAAAGTTGTGTTTCTGGGCTCAGTTTTAGAAGGCAGGCAAAACCTTCTCCTGATGTTCCACCCGGGAGTTAACTCAATGCCTTGAGCTGAAATGTTTCCAAGGAAAATGTAAATACACAGGAACAGAAGTGTTTATCAAGGGTGTCTTCAAGTCCATGTTGACCAGCACATGGGTGCAAATCCTGAGGGATGGAGCCATTCTTCCCCACCAGAGATTCCTCTGTGGCAGCCACTCCTGGGCAGTGACCGTCCCTGGCTGCCAGAGCCAGGGCTGCTCTGGAAGTCAGCACTGACCCACATGTGGTAAAAACCCACCCCTCCATTCCTAATAAATATAAACCCATAAGATTTATTCAAGAAATGAGCTGGAATAAGGAGGAAGGCTCTTTGTTCTATTCCCTTTTGGCTCCTCTGTTCATGAAGCTGTAGGAGAGCAGAAGGAGCTGTAAGTTGCACAAGGGCTGTCCAGGAAAGGGGCAGGAGAGATGAAGTGTCTCTGCACGGGGCACATCGGCTGCATCCACCTGCTCAGGGCCATGCTCAAATGAGGTACCTGTGTGGCATTTCTTCCCAGTACATCTCTCACCCAGGGTTTGTCCCTTCCAGGCAAACACAGCCCGTGATGCTTCTGCTGACAGAGAACAATTTCAGCCCCATCTGTTCGAGCAGCGAGAGACCTTTCTGATCACTCTGGAAGTCAGCAAGAGGTACTTGTATGTTTTGTTCTTTTTCTCTTCTTTTCCTTGCCCATTGTAGGTTTATATTTTGTTTAAACTGTGCAGGTTTTTTTCTTACCTGTCCTCCAGTTTTCTGGGGTTTGTGCTCTTCCATCTCACACAGTGACTGAGCCTTATTTACCAGTTCTGACCCTCACCTCTTTGTTCTCTTCTTTCTGTTGCAGAAGAATTGGATTACATATTTTGTCTGAAGGTTTGTGTTTTTCAGCAATTTCTTTTTTTTTTTTGGTCTTTCTGTAGGATTTTTCTCTCAGCCTTCCAGTAGGTCTTCATAAAATATGATTAATCTGGGCTTGATTCTTTGGTTACTTTCCTCCCTTAATCCATCATGGGATTGAAACACATTTATTACAGTATTGGGGTGGGAGGAACTTTTGTTATTGTTTATGGTTTACCTGTTCTTTGGAGAAAACACTTTCATCTCCAGCATCATCAGACTTTTATAAACATTAACTGTGTTAATGAGAGTGAGAAAAGAAATTGCATTTGTGCCAACAGTGGGAACAAAATCTGTAATTTCTCCATTAGTCGATCAGGTTTGCTCATGTAAACAACGTGATTAAATTTGTCTGTGTGCATCGTGCTATATGAATAATAATGATAATTAAAAAACCATGCAAGGCCCAAAGATAACAAGATTGTGTTAGGGAAGAGCTAGGAGGGGGTAGCAGTATTGGAACAAACAAAGACACACTGAATTCATTATTGCCAGAGCCAGCCTGGCCATCAGTGCTGGGGGGGCCACTCAGACAATGACTGCGGCCCCAAAACTGAACTTCCCACCAGCCTCACCTCTGTGGGGCTGTGTGACAAGGAATGTAGGGGCCAAGAGAGGAGTGTAAGTTGTATCTGAATGAGCAATTCTCATGTGCAAGGCGATTTTAAAGAAGTGAAAGGCTTTGGATTTGAAGCCTGCTTCTTGTTCAACACATCCCTAAATGATTTTCAGAGCCAGGGCTTTCAACACTGGGTTGATGAGCAAAGAAATTTGTCACTGAGTTCATTGTGGTAACCCTTAGATAAGACTGTGGAAGGGATTTTGTGGTTATGAGATTCCTGTGTGGAACAAAGATTTTGCCTGCTCCGTAGCAGTTTCCAGAAGATGTGCTATACCATGTCTGAGTAGCTCTGGTAATGTGTCAGCCTGGTTTAGACCACTGTGAAATGGTTGTCATATATTTCTGTGACCTCTGCTGAAGGCAGAATTCTCTGGATATTGCCCAAAACCTCATGGGATGAGCTTGATATTCCCTGCCTCTCCTGGGCATGGCTGGGCCCACACGAGGCTGGTGCAAGGCAGGTGGAGAGTGTGATTCTGGGTACCTCAGTACCCTGGTGAGCCTCTTAAAACGAGGTCCATGGTGGCCAGATGGAGCCCTCCCTGGGCTCTGATAGTTCTGCTGAGCACAGACATAAACTGGGAATAGATTGGAAACGCACCAAATGGAATCATTCACAGGCTACACTCAATTACAGAAATGGTCAGTGCTTTGGCTCAGGCAGACGAGCAGCTGGTACCGGAGTTCAGCAAAGCTCCTTCCAGTTTGGATTTAGAGATAAAGTCACTGGATCACAGGGAACTCAAAGGTGTGCTCTTTCAGCCCCTCTCTGGGTTCATTGACATCTCCAGCACACATTAATGACAGTGGGCTCTGAGCTCTTGTCTGAAACAAACAGCTTTAAATAAAAAAAGAGAGAAGAGTATGAAATTATGGCAATGTAGCATTGAAACATTACGGAAATTGGTGGATATTTGCAATGGTATCATTTACCTAGTGTTGTGTGATCTGATAATAGCTTTGTTTCCATTATGGAAAAAGAAAACAGAAACATAACTTGATGCTGCTTTATCCTTATTTATTCCCATGAGACTCCCTAGACTGTAAAAAGCCTGAGATGCAAATGTGACTGTACATGATTTAAGGGCACATGGATCAGGAGAAATCGATGAGAGGCTCATCAAGTGCTCTAAGACCATCTGTGCCTGCTCTGTGCTAGAGGCTGTGGAATAGGAATAAGGCTGCAGGCACTGAGTGTTTCCCAGCTACCACCAACAGGTAAAGGTTTCATATGTACCTGCCTGGCACTCACAGTCACTCTTACAGGATTGAACAGACCTGCCAAAACCAGTTCTATTCACAGACTTTAGAGTCTGTATGATAAAGGTTCATAATTCCTCTAGGAAGGAAATACCCACGCAGCTGTTCCCCCATGGCTTGTTTTTCTTAAGGATGTTTGACTGAATAATATTATTTATTTAGAAATACAAAAACCCCACAGATGCTTGAGGGTTTGCTATACTGTTCAGTATTGGGATTTTTATCAGAATTCTTCTTAAACTCCACAATAAAAGATAGGAGAAGTGCCAGATGGACCCTGAAATGCTGTAGGTTTGGGGTGTCAATGAAATCCTGTAGAAGATTTAAGAAGTCTGTTACATTCATGCTGTGTGGAGGCACCTTCCTGTTAGGGGCAACACACTCAAATCCAAATCTTCGAAGATAATTATGAGTCCTACTGGGCAAGTATTAAACATACAAATAGCTAAAAGTTGGGACCTCAATCTTTAATTGTGAACGTAAGAAGATTATTGTGATGGTGTGAGATTAACAGTGCTGCATCTCGAGTAATTATTGTCAGACTGGAGCACAGTCTGTCTCTCCTGCCTGGGGAGGATGTCAGGCACCATCTCCCTCTTATGTGGAAAATGTGACATGTGAGCAGGATCCTTTTAATTCTTTTAGTTCTGCCTTCCCAGGGGTGTCCAGGGTTGCTGTGTCAGTGCGGCCAGAGGAGTGAGAAGGCTTTCTTCCCCTGAGATTCACAGCTCTGGCACAGATACTCCAAAACTCTTTATTTCTCCAATTTGCCACCTTGTCCTACTTTAATTGCACCTTCCATCCAATAGTCATGGCTGCTGAACCCACCTCTCCAAAGGGTGTCGACCCTATTCTTGGGTTTGTGGCATCATCTGTTGCCCAGAGAAACTGTGGCTACCCCATCCCTGGAAGTGTTCAAAGCCAGCTTGGAGGGGGCTTGGAACAACCTGGTGTAGTGGAAGGTGCCCCTGCCCACAGCAGAGGGGTGGAACAAGATGAGCTTTAAGGTCTCTTCCAACCCAAACCATCTTGTGATTCTGTGACTGGAGCTGAAAAGAGGGGATGACCCTGGATTGGTGATGAGCGTCCTGCTGTCCATTGGTGTTGGGTTTTGTACCCTCTGACTCAGTTTGTGAGGCAGCTTAGCAAATCTCCACAGCAACCCCATGTGTACCATAAAATTGTGAATTATCTTGTTTAGAAGAGGTTCATTAGGAAGATTAATGAGGTATTATTTTTCCCTCACTCAATGTCGTGATACAGAGGGGACACAGTAATTTTCCCAGCTGTGCACAGCAGCGATTGCTCCTCTCCAGGGTCCCGGCATCGCTGCGTTGTCATCACTTAAACTGCTCAATCTTTGGAAGTGTGATTTGTCAGCTTAATTAGCCCTAAAGGAAGCACTTGTTTTAAAATGAGACAACAGTTTTGTTTTTCCCTGAGAAGGACATAATGTTCTTAACAGCAGCAACTTGTTTAAATAAAAGAGCTTTTAAGCTGAGTTTTATATGAACCCTAAGAATCATTTTTAAATTTTTCCCCACTCTGAACTCTCCAGCTTGCCCATACCCTTTCCCTGGTGAGCCTCCAGCCTCATTTGTGTCACATCAGTGCAATTATGTGTTGCTGCAGTGGGTCAGACACCATCACACAGCAGGGAAAGGTGAGATGTCTTCATCAAGAAGGATGGGGTAAGCTGAGAATAGTCTTGCTGTTCAGAGCTCATTTCCACAGAATCACAGAATCATTTAGGTTGGAAAAGATCTCCAAGACCATCAAGTCCAACCTATGACAGATCACCACCTTGTCAACCAGACCAGAGCACTGAGTGCTGGCCACATCCAGTCATTTCTTGAACATCTCCAGGGATGGTGATTTCAGCTGGGATATTTCTGTCCTTGTTTTATATCAGAAGAATTCATAATTTCTCATTTTACTAATTTTCCAGGAAAAAAAGTTCAGAAGGAGGCTTGGAAAAAGCCACAGAGAGTCCTAATTAGGTAAGTCTGATGTTCTGTGTTTGCCCCAGACATGTGTGACTACAAAAATCATGCTAGACTAAAAACAGCTGGTGAGGTTTTAGTTAAAATTAAAACATGTGGAAGCTGTGTAAGCTGTATTGATGAGCATCAATAACCAGATCTGTAGCCCTACTGCCAACCCAAGGGTAGGAGATTCAATAGAGTTTCTTCTTCAGGAGAACATTATATGCTCTTTAAAAAAACCAAAAACTATCTTTTAAAAACCAGTTCTACCTGGACATTCTATTTCAGTCAAGAAAATGTCTCCTCAGTTTCAGAACTGGTCTGTAATTGTGATCCCAGCTATGTATCTTTTCCTCATTTATTATTATTCAGACTGCGTGTAACAATTGAGTTTCAGTTAGGGGTTTCTATGGTGTGCTTAAAAATAACAGGTTTTCAACTGAGATTGCTGGTCTGTGTTTTCTGTCCTAAGCAATTATTTGCCAAGTTAGAACTCTTGTAAATTAATATGCCATTTTCCAATCGCACCAGTGGAGGCTGTTTTCGGCGTGTGTAGGAGGGAGAAGGGCTAACTGCGTGCTGGTTCAGGAGGATGCTCTTCAAATGTGAGTGATCAGCAGGAGCAAAATCAAATTCCTTTATTTCGGTGCTGTGGGAATGATGATTGCTTGTTCTGAGTGGGAAGGGGAAGGAAGGAAGGATGGGGGAGACAGGAGTGCAGTGTCCTCACGGAGCTCTGGCTTCCAGGGTGGCGGACCAGGATTTGACAGCAGAGCAGAACAGAAAAAGCCAGAACAGCCCTTGAGCAACAGGTCTGTGGTCTCACCAGGAGAGGCTTGATTTACCCTGTTGTGGGCCACTATGGTTGAGCTCTGGAGCTTTAGCCAGGTGGTCTGGCCTTTCAATAGCACACTTAGGGTTAGGTTCCTCTTCTTCCTCTTTTTTTTTTTCCTCCTCCGTTTTTTTTTCCTGCTCCTTTTTTCCCCTCCTCTTTTTTCCCCCTTCTCTCTTTTCCCTCCTCTTTTTTCCTCCCCTCCTCTTTTTCTTCCTTTTTTTCCGTGCATCAGGCCCCACACAGCCCAGCTCCCTATGCCAGTGGCTCTGCCACACTGGTCCCTTCCAGCCTCCCTCAGAGACAGGTCCAGCCAAGGCTCCTACTCTGCCCATGGGGTGTTATGGGAGGACCCTGTGCTACCAGTTCATTGCAATTTTCATCAGTTCTCCTTATCATTGTGCTATTAATTGCTTTAATGATGCATTCATTTGGATTGAAAATATGATACCACTGAAATTTAATGTAAAAATCAATAATTCATTAACACATTATTGCTACACCTACATGTGTCACCACATTCATCTCCTGTGCTGGAGAAGCAGTTGGTTTCAGCTCAGTGTCCATAGATCTTTGTTAGAAGGCAGTTGTTGGTAGAATAATCATGAAAGGAGAGTTATAGAGTCACCACTTTCTTTCTTTCGAGACTGTAGCCCCAGGTCATATGGATTCTTCTCTCTAGGCCAGGCAAGGCTGAGGAGTACCCAGGTAATATTCATTCTTTATGTTTTTGTTCAAAGAGAAAATACCATTTATGTGTTTGTGAGGTTGGTTGAAATTCCATCTTTTCCCAGTCTGTGGGAAACAATAAGCCACCAAACTTTCAACTAGTATCCACAGTTCTGGGATGCAGCCCAGGAATTCCATCAGTAAAGCAGCACACCTGGATATTAGGCCTGTTCCTGCTGTTGTACCTCAATAACCAACATCGGCTTCGGCTCAGTGTCTGCCCGACTCTGCTCTGGCACCAAGGGACTGACTGAGACGTGTCAGATGGTGTGACTGCAGGTTTGACATCACTCTGGGTGTCTGTGTGGATGTGTGTGTGTGTGTGTGCACACAGACGTACACGAGCAGCACGGTGTTTTGTGTTTCTCAGCGGGACAGATGGGAGAAGGAGCAACAGAGACTACTGGAAACCATCCAAATGCTTAAATGAGAAGTGAGCTGGAGAAAGAACGTTTCTGAAAATGCATTTATTCCTTGGTGGGTAAAATACACTCGTTACTGGTGTCTTCCCATGCATCAGTTGGTACAGTCTTTAATTAAATTATCCCTGATTGATATCAAGCCATAATCTCTCAGACAGAGCCTCGTGCTGCCCAGCAGGAATCCCGACAAGCTGTGGGGACTGTCCCCACGCTCTGCAGGGTGGCAGGTCCATCCCTGACACACCAGGAGCACAACTGGATGCAGAAGTGTCTCTGTGCATCCCAGTCACCAACCAAGACACCACTGGCTGCTGCTCCAGGCTGGTGTGTCCTGGCTGAGCATGTATACGGGGCTCCTCATTTGAGCTGTTACTGCAGGAGGAGAGAGTGTAGCTCCGGATTCCACCAGTGACACAGAAAATAGCTGATTTTCACACTGCACAAACCCCTGTGACACAGGTCTCTTTGCAAACAGGAGGGTCATGGGAGCCATCTGCAGCAGGAAGCTACAAATCAAAGGCAGTGGCTTCTCAGGGGGCAAGTTCTGTTTGGAGGCTGCATTAATGACTGCAAGCTCTTGCAAAATACTGTGATTTTTATATATTTTTGTTTTTATTTCTGTTTGTTACAGCATAAAAATAACAGCAAGTTGGTATGACAAAACTGGGTAAAAATTTAGAAGATATTATCTTAACCACCGTGTGAGGCTTCTGCTTCTTCTTTTTTCCTTCTCCTAAGTCTGAGATTGGGAGTTAGCACTGGATTCACAATAATTATTGAGCTTACTCTAACCAGTCCCTGCTTGAGCAGCTCTGCTTCTGATGCTGCTTCGAGCAACATGCTGAAACAAAGGATCCTCCAACAACAGGCACTGTCTCCACAGAGTCCCCCGGGGAGCATCATTCTGATGTGGGAGTTTCTCAGATTCAAAGGAATCCCTGTGGTAACACAGATAAATTGCAGGTCCCAGTTCACTTCTGTGTGCGTGGGAAGGAGAGGTCACAGGGCAGCAGGAGCCAGGGCTGGGTGGTAACGGAGCCTCTCCCAGCACAGCCACCCCCTGTGTCCCCAGGCCGTTCCCAACAATAGTGCCGGTACCTGACGGATGTTCCTTTCCCCTCTCCCCTTTCCCATGTTTCTGCAGGTAACTGTCCAGCTCCAGTCCTGCTATGGCCAACGCCACGGGTGACTTCTCCAGGTGTCCCCTCCAGCCCCTTAGAGCTCTCTTCTAAAGAACCAACATGTTATGGACAAGATATGACACAAGGTATGTGCTCAGGTGTGATGGGTTTAGGGAAGAAGACGTTAAGAATTTTTTTTTTTTTCAGATAATACAATTTTTTTTAGGAGATTTTATTATCCTAATATTTTTTTTTTATACTTCAGGAAAAAGTACATTCATATCTACAATTAAAACTTTGTTATTCCATAGACTGCATTTTCTAGATTCCCCATCTCACTGCTCAAGCTCCAAAGTTCACAAGAGATCCCTTGGGGGTGCACCCTCTTGCCAGGCATCAACTCCCACCCCAAGTTCCCAAAGCTATAACCACACTAGTAATACTAAGGATGACTCGTTATTAATAATCCTGCCCTCACCAATGTGCAGAGCTTTTCATTTTCATTGTGCTGTACGTACATTAACTAATAAATCTCCACAGAATCCCAGTGAGAGTGGTAAGTGCTGTTATTCTTGTTTTATGGATGGCAAAATGAGATACAGGGAGGTTAATAGCAAGTCTAATTGGACAATAATTATCCACTTACCACACTGAAAATTAAGAAATAATCCTCCCATTGTCATTACATCAGCAGAACAAGGCAAGAGCAGTGTTCACGTCCTCCCCATCCCACCATTTAGCCAAACAGCTTACATGCAAATGGAAGTAAAGGGAGCACAGGAGCAGATAAATAAATTGTTCTTTCCTTGTTTAACATCTATTTTGCACCACTGAGTCACTCAGAATAGAAGAAAATTATTAAATTTCCTCTGTAATCTATTAGGACATGACAAAACAAAGTCAAGCTCCATTTGTAGAACATATCTTTTGGAAAAGAAATGGAAGAATTAGGATTTAATTACTGCTATGGATTGGTTTAACTTCATTTTTCTGGGAAGGAAAAAAATAAACCCAACAAAAAACCCAGCCTAAAAATACCTGACTTAAGAAAGACCAGTATTCTGATGATTCTGCATTCCTTAATGTTTGGTTTTTCCCAAGCAATTAAGACAATTATACCAATGACACTCACTGTATTAATCTAAATCTTGGGTCTTCAGTGACTCAATTCCCAACAGGAATTTTTCTTCCAAGCCAGCACTTCAAAAGCTGTTTTGATACTCAAATCTCAATGTTATGAATGAAAGAAAATCGTAAGACACATTGGAGAAAATGTTTTATTTCATTTTGGGTTAGCATTTGAATTTAAGTCTTCTTTTTCTTTCCAGTTTTCAAACTAAAACACCTATTTGGAAGATGACAGTTAAAAACTCATTTGTAATGAAAAGGGCTGATTTAAGATTCCTGTGGGAAAGGGGAAATTCAGCTTGAATTCTGATTTCAGTGGATGAGCTCAAGGACCTACCTCTGCACAAACTGAACGTGAGCCAGGCCCCAGCTGTGCAGGGGGAGAGCTCTCCAGTAAATCTTTAAGTCATTCCAGGTGATGTGACAGCAAAACAGTCCTAATGATTTTCTTCGGTGACTCCACCTAATCCATAATGGAATAGATTGGAGGAACCCGATCTTGGGCACATCTGGCTGTTTAATGGGCTGCAGCAAATGATAGGGGTTGTGTCTTCTGCTGGGGTTTGTTTGTTTCTCCAGGGGTCTGGGAGGCTGGGCAGCAGCTCCTGGTGCTGCTCCTCCACCTCAGGCTGGAGGGGATGTCCTTCCATCCCATTTGGGGAAGGATGGAGTGGTCCAGCCCCGTGCTCAGGCCCTGTGGTTTGGGCTTCCACTGAGAGCGTGATGTCCACTGTGGTAGATGCTTCAAGTGTAGAGGTGCTACTCTACTGAAATTGAGTTTTAAAGAGCTGAACGAAACCAAATTGTCAAAATCGCCTTCATCAGAATCCCAGAATGGTTTGGGTGGGAAGGGACTTGACCGATCATTTGGTTCCAGCACCCTGCCGTGGCCTGGGACACTTTCACTGTCCCAGGTTGCTCCAAGCCCTGTCCAGCTGGGCCTTGGACACTTCCAGGGATGGGGCAGCCACAGCTTCTCTGGGTGATCTGTGCCAGGGCCTCACCACCCTCACAGGGAAGAATTTCTTCCCAATATCCCCTCTAACCCTCTCCTCTGTCAGTGGGAAGCCATTCCCCCTTGTCCTACATGTAAGGGAAGAGTTAATAAAAATTGTGATTATAAAAATTCAGGCTCTCTAAGTATTGTAAAGTTTTTTTAAACTTTATCACTGAATAATTTGAAAATGTGGGTCAAGTCCTAAAACCTCTTTTTAAACCCTAAATGCTTTCAAGCAGTTTTACCTGAAGGAACTGCTCTGTCAGACTCCCAGATGGGTGGGAATAGCTGCTCACAGGTAGAAATAAGTGGCTGAATATGCAGCTGAGATTTCTGGTATAGCACTTACAAACAGGATAATGTTGCCTAAATAGTGCTGTTTGCGTGGGAGTTTTGCGATCAGTACCACAGAATTTACTGTGGAATGAAACTTGTGAAATTCAAAAGAAACAGAAAGGTATTTTACAGATTTTTTTCAGAAGCCTGTAACATGCAGTACAAAATCATCATCTTTATCTAGTTGTGAATTCTGTAGCAAAAATGTAACTTTAGATTAAATTCCATAAACCTGATCGATAAATCTGCAGAAATTTAGTATTTGCAATTAAATTCTGTAGAGCTGCTCCCTAAGTACACAAATTGGGAGCTCAGAAAGGAGCTCTGCTTCTTGATACATCATTTTTTGCTGGGAATGCTCTTCCTAATGAAAAATGATGGCAAACAAAAATAGATTTTCTGTCATGGGGGTAATTGTTCTTTTTCTTAGTGCACTCCAAATATTTCTGTAAAGCATCATCTGCTCTTTAAACACACATTGTAGAACATCAATGGAAGTCGATACCTTTTGTCAATGAGTAAAATATTAAAAGTAATGAGCTGACCTGTTTCTTATTTAGCTATCGATCCTGCCTCTCTCTTGATTTGTTTTCCTGAAACATGCAAAGTTAGGGATTTGGTTTTCGAATCAGATAGAACAGCCCAGGCTGTAAGGGACCTCACAAAATCATCTGGTGCAATGTACTGTGGGGAGGAAGCCCAGATGAGGGTCTGGCACCATGTCCATTTACCTCTTGAACACTCCATGGCCCTGGGAAGGTTGCTGCAGTGACTGTTCTTGTCATGGCAAAAAAAAATTCTCAAATTGAGATGAAATTTCTCCCAGTGCAACTGGTACCCCTTGTCCCCTGTCTTCCCCACGTGACCACAGGGTTTCACTGTATAAAACCCAAGTGGCAGGGGATGAGGGGATGAAATGTGTGAGAGCTGTTTCAGCATTCTCTTCGCGATCCAAGCAATTATTCCAGCGGTTTCGCTGACCCAGAAGCCACCAGCAGAGTTTATTCTGGTCAGCTGTAAACAAAGCTGTGCACTTCTACTTATCAAATCACTTTGCTTCTTTCTGAAGGTCAGGATGGAGAACACTGAGCACCTGAGATAAGTGGGAGCTGATGCCAGTGCCCAGTGCTTCTTAGTGCCCTACCTAACTCTCCATCAGCTGCCCCAGCTTTCCTCTGGGGACCTTATTCTCTTTTGTGGTATGTTAGATGATGCAATTTTTGTTCTAATTGTGTTTCTGATCAGTGTATTCGGTTCAAGAAAAGGTTATAAAAATTTTATATCTGGGTCTGTCACTCTGCTGAGGCTGCAGGCTGGGGAACCCCTGTGCAGCTGTGGTGGCTGGATGTGCTCCTGTGGCCTCATGTTGAGACACAAGGTCTGTCCTCTTGTGCCACGCTTTATGCACACCCATCCCCTGGGATAAGGCTGGAATCAGCAGATGGGAGGGTTGCACAAGCCTGGAGGTGCCTGGCATGGGGTTGGGATAGGGCATGGACGGTGGGAGCAGTGGGAAGCTCTACCATGCTGTACCAACCCATGGCCATGGTGGACACTGGTCCACTGTGCTTTCACTCTGCACTCAAAAGGGTTTATTCCATGGCTGTTCTGACAGGTGAATTAAATTATTCTTAGATTGTCTTATGCAAAACAATCAATGCAGTGCTTGAAAGGTAGGGGCTCCTTTGGATTTTATTTACATTGATGTTGCTTTTAGTGGAAAACTCATAGTTTTGGTGTATAGATTTTAATTAGGACTGAAAATAACCTTTCAAAGACACAGCTAAGATTGGAAGGAAAAATGAATTTTTGTAAGTCTGAACTGCCTGTTTCAGTAATTCTGATGATTAAAAATTGAGCTGGATATTGAAGATAATATATTAAATAAACAGCAGAGTATTTTAAGTTATGTTCAGTGCTGTTGTGAGTAAATTAAACAAGTGGCTGGTACAGGAGTGAAAGGAAGAGAAGCAATGTTGTACCTTCAGCCCTGCTTTCTGAAGGCTGAACTGTACAATTCGCCATTAAAAAGCTTAATCTGATGTGCTGTTGGGAATGTTTCTGAATTGGTGCTGCTCAGGGAACACACATTTCTATGGAAATAAAATTTCTTCCCCAAAAGGGCTTGTCAGGCACTGGCAAAGGCTGCCCAGGACAGTGGTGGAGTCACCATCCCAGGACAGATTTAAAGTGTGAATGTGGCACTGGGGTTTGTGAGTTAGTGATGGTATTGGCAGTGCTGGGGGAAGGGTTGGACTCCACGGTCTTGGAGGACTTTTCCGACCTCAACAACTCCATCATTCTCATAAGCTGTTACCTGTTGCCCTCAATTATTCTCAGGTTACCGAGTTCAGTTCAACTGCTCAAATGTCAGCAGCTGAGAAGAGGGAGGGGAAAGCTCAAAGTCCACAGAGGGCAAAAAGAAGTTTAAAAGAATTCAGTGGGCTGAGTGGCCCCATAGGCAGTGAGTGTGTCTGCTCAGCTGTCCCAGGACATGAAGGATGTTGTCACTGCAGGATGGGGATGGAATTCCTTCGGAATGCTTTCCACAGGAATGCCCTCTTTGCTTGGGGAAGGTCTGTAGAAACAGGCTTGTAAACATCTGACAAAAACACACCTTTCTAATCAACACTGAAATTCACCTTTCCCAGAATTTGGGAGTATTGGTTCTGGCACTGGTTCAAGCCTGTCTCTCATCGAGTGATTGATTTCTTTATTTCTCTTGCTCCTGCCACCCCTCAAGAACGTGATTGAGTTAAATCTAGAGAACCTTAAAGGCACAAAGATTTTATTAGAGAAGGCAGTGAGGATTCCTGGGTGGAGGAGGATCTGCATAAAGGCAGGACAGGGCAGGGCTGTGCCCCAAGCTGTGAATCTGCAGAACAAAATCATCTGGAAAGTGTAATTTCATCAGTTCCTTTGAAAGAGGATGGGCTGGGGAGGTTGGACTATGAGGGATGGGATAGCGACCCAAGGGGGATATCCCTGTGCTATAGAATGTCAGTGCTCAGTGACTGGTTGCTGCTTGGATCTCCACTGGCACCAGTCAGTTCCTACTGCTGAACTCCAGACACCCATTTTCTGTTTTTATGAGAGAATGAAGTGTAGAGTGAGCCTGCCGTCTCTGGCAGGGCATTTCCATATCCTTAAACTGGATTATACAGTATGTAATGTGCATTTCTTGCTCATTCTTTCCTCCTTAGTCCACACCGTGCTCGGGCTTCCAGCCGAGAGCTGCTGAGTGATGGGGCAGAGGAGATGATGATGTGCTGCTGAGCGTTACCTCTCAGCCAGCATTTACCCCAGAGTTTCTGTTATTTCAGTTACTCTGTTTAAAGTTGAAATTGCTTTTGTGATGAGCACAGTATCCCAAGAGAAGGCAGCAGGACAAGTGACAACAGGCAGCGTTTCTTCCCTTGTGCCAAGAACCCGAATGCGAAAGCAGGTGCTGCCACAGCGGCTGCGCCGGGAGGGTGAGCAGCAGTTGGCAAAGCACAGATTCCTCAGAAGCAGAGAAAAAAATCACAAGCATCCAAAATGCCACTGGGAAAAGCTGGAAAAGCACTGTTTTCTTTATGAACAAGACAATTTTACCAGCGTTTTTCCAATAACTTGTGTGTCGGGCTGTTGTTCATTGTTGTTGCTTTCAGAAAGGAGGAGCTGCTGCCTGGCACTATCTACTCAGGCACAGGGTCATTATCTTGCCTTGCAGCCTGCATGGCATTTTCCTGGAGCAGATTAATTAAAAAGGGCTAGTTCCTCCCTGTTATTTACATATATAACAAGTTTGTTTCCTCTCTGCATTCTTTGTCCCAAATTTAACCATCTGTGGTTGTGGGCTGGTGGCTGACAGTGGTGTGCAGAGCCATGACCAGGTGGTGGGAAGGGCCAGAAATAACCAAACGGTGGGTAATTCAGCACAAAATCATTTTCTCATGGTCAACATGCCATTAAGTTCTTAAGTTTAAAGTGTTTGGAAAAATTGTAGTAAACTCAGTTAAAATGTTGATTATCTCACCAGAAAGTTATTAGCTATCCTTTTTTTTTAACCCCCCCGGTTGATTTTATCAAAAGTTTTATGCTTTCATAAACTGGGATTGTTCTTATACCTCACAAGAGCTAGAAATGCTTTTTGGTTGATTTTCATCATTATTTAGGTCAAGACTTTCAGTCAAGCAAAACTGCTGTAAAGCCCAGAGTGTGATTTGGGATTAACTCTTCCTCCTCAACTCACAGTAGCTGCTGTTCCCACCACACGAGCCCTTGGCCAGCCTGGACCTGCTCCAGAAGCATGGAAACCAGTTCAGCCAGACATTGCTGCAAGGCAGTCCAGAAATATCCCATGGACAGAAGGGAAAAGGGCAAGGTTACTATTTGGAGGATTTGGACTCCTTCCCATCTTCTGCCAAGGTAAATTCTCTGCTAATGTCGCAGAAACTTTCATATCCTCTGCAGTAACAGTGTGTGAAGTGGGGGAGTTATTGGCAGTTTAGCAGTGATAGAGCAGGAGAGAGAGTAAATGTTAAGTGCACTTTACTATACAACAAATTTTCTGTATATGGCATCCCAATACATCAAGAAATTTTGCTTGCTTCTGGCCAGGAAAATGTCATTCATTTCACTATTCATATTACTTGGAAAAAATAAGTGCAGTGCTCATGCTTGTTTACACCCTCACAGCTCGCTGGGAAAAGGCTGATTTCCCACCCTTCACTCACACAGTTCTGCTCTTTCCATATCAGAGCTGCTGTACCTGTGGGGGCTCTCAGAGCTGCGTGAGAGCACAGCCGGAATGATGCAGGACTAGAACACGTCTCTTTCCTATATCTCATCCAGTCACCCTCTGCATTGATGAGAAAAATAACACATAACCATTTGAATCAAGGTCCTTCTTACCCTTCTTGTGCAGAGGAGGTTGTTGGAGGGGTTGTTCAGTTTGGGCAGGTTGGAGCCCTGTTCCTGCAGATGGAGCACGTGCTGCCCACGCGGTGGGGCCTCCATCTGCTGCCCAGCTCACCCGCCCCAGCCCACCCACGGGCCAGCAGCCCACCTGCCGAGTGACAGAGCAGCAGGGAGGACTTCAGACAGCTTTTAAACCTTTGGTACAAGCTCCACAACCACACAGCCAGGCACAGATCCTCTCTACGGCTGCGAGGAGGGACAGGGAGCCCAGCAGTATCGCTTCACCTCTTGGAAGGGCAGCGTGAGGTCTGTGCTCTGCCTTCAGGATTAAAGTTGAGTGAGTGGAGGTTCTTCCTGAAAACTGCTCATGAAATCACAGGCAGAATCCTGAGCAAGGCAGAAATGTGTGCATACTGCCTGTGAACGCTGCCCTGACACCATCCAAGGGCACACAAATCAGAATAGTGGATGATTTTGTAGCCTGTGCCTTTCCCTGTGCCTCACTTACCCCGACACACGTGTAAAGTCTGTGTTCCCCAGTCTCAGCCAAATCCAGAGTCTGTCTTTCAAAATCTTATGGAGAAATCTCTGTTGCCTTATTTTTATATCTACCCAACCTCCTCCTCACCAGGGGTTGGGTTCATCCCACAGCACCAGGCTCTGCTCTGTGGAAGTAAACCAAGACAAGCCACTTGCATGGCTGAGGATTGTAATAAATCAAACACAATCTCCTCTCTAGGAACACTTTCCCAGACATTTCTCCAATGCCCCAAACCCTGTGGGATGAGGACACCTGTGACTACCTTTGGCTGTGACAGGAATGTTCTTCTTTCAAGACATGGTCCCTATGGAAGGTATGAGGAGAGCTGGGGAGTGTAACGTGGCTGATAAGGTTTACTCATGGACTTTACTGTTTGTGAGTGTTGCTGGCAATTACTGGAGTGAGACAAAAGTGTTCCAGGAAGAGAGGAGCAGGAGGGAAAAAACAACCACCTCCAAGTATGCAGAGGAGTATCTTGGTTTTACAGATGCACATAGCATCGATCAAAATGCCACCTGCACACCCTGGCTGGTACCTGGAATTACACAGTTCCCCTGAGCTTACAGGATGCATAAAATACACATTTAATGAAGCAGGCTCTGTCTGTGGATCCAAGAGACTGAAAAAGTGGAGCATAGGATATATATGCCCAATGCCTGTTCACAACAGAGGAATAGGGATTTGTTTCATCACAGCAAGTAGCTTTAATTTTTATGACTTAGTAGGTAGAGTTCTAAAGTGTTCAAACTAGGTTCAGATGCTCTCAGGAGTCTTTTTGGGGATGTGCAGGTCCTTATAGCGTATTTAGTCATGCCAGGCAGGCTAAGGGCAAATGTTGGAAAATTTTAGAGGTATCTTCATAGAATCAAATCACAGATTGCTTTGGGTTGGAAGGGACCTTAAAGCTCTTCCAGTTCCACCCCCCTGCTATGGGTGGCACCTCCCACTAGACCAGTTTGCTCCAAGCCCCTCCAACCTGACCCAATGAACCTCTGCATTGGCTGCTCAGAGCCCAGAGGATGAGGTCAGCCTGTCTGAGCTGCTCGGTCTGAGTCTGTTCTTCACAAACCTGAGGGCTGAGGTGGAAAAAAATGGAAATAAAGAATAGGTTATTTTTATTTCAGTATGCATCAAATCCTGCTTTTATAACTTATTAATGATAAATTGATCTCAGGAGATATTAACTCTGTATTTACAGAGTGTTTAGACATGCTGGGGGCTGTTTTAAATGTACCAGCTGCTCAGTGCTGATTTAAGTACACAGATGTTCTTATTAGCATAACATTCAAATTCGATGTCCTTCTTATCTGCATCCTGTCAATGCACAAAAACAACGGCACCAGCAGCCCAGGACCTCCACGCAGGAAAAGCCTTTTCTCCCCCTGGGACCTCCCCACGGGCTGCATCCCATCACACCTCAGTGACAACAGGTGGGATCCCAGCACGGGACAGCGCAGGGTGGTGGTGCTGGAGAGAGGGGGCCTCTTAGAGATGATTCGGTGAACCTGCGTGGGCTCAAGGCTAAACAGCCCTTGGGTTTTATGTAAACCAAAACTGGGGATGAACTTTCACTTGGCTCTTTTTGGCTGTGCTCGGCGACGTTTGCCGGTTATTGCTTCTGCGCTTTCCTTTGTGCTGATTTTTAACAGCCCTGTGCTTGCTTTTTGTTTGCGAGAGATCAGCTGTGATGGGCAGCAATGTCAGTGGTCTTTGAACCGAAGGAATGGCAGGTAATGACAGCAAATTGGTGTCTGGCTCCGTGAATTGCACGTTACAGAAAAGTGCCTGACTCACAGTTCAGGATGGAGTATGGCAGAGCTGGAAAGGGCAAATCCACCCCGGAGTGACTCTTTGCTGGCGTGTTGTGATGTGCAGAGATGTCTGTTGTCTTTGGGGTGACAAAGCAGCAGGAACCTCTTACAGCTCTTTTGAATTATCTCGGTATTTTTTCTCTTCAAAGGTAAAAAAGTTCATTAAAGTTTTCTTTCTTTGTTGGGTATTTTAAATACACTTCCTATTGCTGACCTGTTGCTGGAGATGACCCCAGATGTGACATGGTTGTAAACCAAAGGCTATCGCAGGGGATGTAAGTAACACTCTTTTCCAAAGAGACTTGTCTCTACAGGGAATAGAAGTGTCAGAAGAATGTACATGATTTTCCATATATATATTTTTGTTCTTCATTTTTCCTTGCAGCAGCCTTGAGCAACCCCTCGCAGCACCTACCTTTTGATACCCCGTGTTTTCAGACCGTGCCTCAGCGCTCAAGGGACCAGGCAAGGAAAGGAACACAGAAAGGGAGGATGTTTTGTGGTCCCTCGCTCCCCCATAAGAAACATCCAGCAGTCCAGTAGAAATACAAAGTAATGACAACAGAAGAACTGGAAATCGCTTCAAAGTCAAACTCATATCTTGAGAAACATGAGGAAAAATGTTACAAAGGAAATATCAAAGGCTCAAGAAGGATTTTCCGAGGCACTTTGTTACTGAAGTTGTTACCACCCTCCCGCAGAGGCAATCAAGACTAATGGGGACATTAGCACAGCCCAGGACTACACATCAAAAGAGTCCCTGGAGCAAATAACACCCAGCAACTGGAGCGTCGCTGGCACCGCGCTCCAAACCACCCCCCTCTGCCTCAGAAATGAGTAAAAGGGTCGTAAACAGCAGAGAGAAAATTTTTGCCTGGTGACTGCAAATAAGCACCCAGCAGAGCTGTTAAAAGTTGCTTGCTGAAGAGAAAAATATGATTCTTCCAGTTTTATGGGCCATGTTCAGATAGCTCTTACTCCTGCGCCATAAATCCAATTTTCACATAGATTAAATGGAAAGGCAGCAGAGGCTCTGCTGAATAATGCACGGATTGTCATGGATCTGTGGCGTGAGGTGCACAAATCGATCCTCCCCCCCACGCTCATGCGTGGCTTCAGCGATGCTGCAGCGCTCCCACCTTTGGTGCCTGGCTTCAGAGTGGTACCTCTGAGCATGAGGAGCGCTACCAATATCCTCACAGACCTTCACCTGTGGTCCTCCTTGGATCATCTACCTAAATTTTAAAACTTAAAAAAAAAAAAAAAGTTATGATAGAGTTTAAGCTAAGAAGAGGTGGCTTGAGGAATACTCTATTCCTTTAGAAGGATGCTCAGAGGAGCTGCACTGGGGTAAGGCCACCACGGTGTCCAAGGGAGGAGGAAGGCAGATAGATGCAGCTCAAGTGTGTCATTTGTCATCCATTTAGTGTGTCTGTGCACTGCTGGCAGCAGGTCTCAGTGTGCTGTGGTGGAGTCACCATCCCTGGAAGTGTTCAAAAAAGGAGTAGACGTGGCACTTTCTGATGTGATCTGATTGACAAGGTGGAGATTGGTCAAAGGTTGGACATAATGATCTTGGAGGTCTTTTCCATCCTCAGTGATTCTGGGATTCTATACTTGAGCTTAGCTGTTGTGAGAAGCTGAAACTCTCCCAGGAGCAGTGGCTGCATCTGTGGGAAACTGCTGGTATCACAAAAAAAGTGCTTTTTCCAGGTGTAGCATTAAGCACTGGTTCCCTTCTCCTAAAACAACGTCCCGTTTGGTCTCTGGAGGTTTGCTGACGTTGCTATAATTGTGAATGACAGAGCTTTGGGAATGCTGTGTCTGTGAACTGTGCTGTGGAACCAGAGCCTCACAAAGTGTGCTGTGTGCCGTGCTTAATGCTGAGCACAAAGGAATGCCACTGGCTGTGGTGTCTCTCAGTAACCAACCCGAGTTCGCTGATGCAGTGAGGTTCTCTGAGGTTGCTCCTCGCTATATTTAGATCAAAGGAAAAGCTCAAATCTCTAACCAAGTGCTGCCTGATAGATCTAAGAGATTGCATCATGCATGGGGCAGCACCTCAGTTACGCTCAGCCAATGTTTCTGTGTTTTTCTTAATTTTGGTTTCATCCTTTCAGTGTTACAGGTATTTAGGGAGCGGGGCTGGCTTTCCACGTCTGTGTCTGTTGGCCACTATTTGAGGCATCTCTCTGAGGACACAGTCCTGGTCAGTGTAAACCCAGTCGTCCCCTCATCCATCAGCACTGGGGTTGGACTCATCTGTTGTTCTGCATCTGGCACCGCTCTGCATTTCTGCATTTCTGTACATTATTATTATTATTATACTGGGGGTAGTTTTGTACTGCTTTGTTCTTGCTCCAGTTGCTGATCCTCTCGTGCTTTGCTGGGTGTGAGTACCCCAGGGAGTACTGCCTTTCTGCTTGTTTCATTGTTTCAAATGCTTCAAGAGAGGCCTTAAAAAGCCATTATTCACATCTACAAGTTGAAATTAGGCTCCTCATACCAATGTGAAGAACAAAATCTCAGGTGTGTTACATTCTCTGAGTTTCGGGGTTTCCTCTGGCTCCACATGGACCAGGAGTCCTCCCAGCACTGCCATACCCTTGTTTTTCAGCCCTTTGTACTTGTTGGTGTCTCTCTTAGTGACTTCTAGTTTAAAGATTTCTAAAATGTAAAGCCACTTCAAGTCAGAAAATATTTTTTTCCAAAAAATTAGAGATGCAGGAGGTTTGTCAGAGCTGAACCTTCATCACAGCAGTCACTGCTCACTGAGCTGCTATTGCCCAAAGATTCATTTCTTTTGCAAAAGTGAGTGGTTAACAGTGCCTCACACTTCTCATCACTGACCTAATCCCGAGGGAGCACCTGCAGTATAACCCCCAGATTAGGAATTACTCTGGCAGCCCTGTTTGAGGTGAAGGAAGGTCTGTGTGGGGACATTTGCCACACACAGTGACAGCACTCGTGGAGCCCTTGGATGAGTTCCTTGTGTCCCGATTCCCAGAGCTGACAGGGGTTGCCTGGCAGGAGGAGCTGTGGGGGCTCTGGACCTGCTCACCTGTAGCCTTTTATCCAGGTAACAGTTTCAGCTGGATGCTGACAGCTGGAATCACCTGTGGGGACACTTGCAAAGAGCTGTGTTTTCTCACGGTGACACAGCTGTGGTGCTCTGTGGGTGTTGTCTGATTGCAATTCAGTGCAGAGACTAAGGGGCAGCCCTAAACCTGCTCAGGTGCTGTGGTTCTTCTCACCTTCTCCCTGCTCACTTCATTCCTTCCATTCCCACCCAGCCCAGCACTGCCACCAGCCCCTTTCTCACCTGAGCAGGTTTAACTCCATGTCTGTCAGTGATCTCTCTGACCAGGATCGCTCCAGCTTCCCTCTAATTGTGCCACCTCACACAACAGAGGGATTTCCATAACTCCAGGAGAAGCTGCTTATTATTTTCCATTATTTTCCATTATTTCCCAACCAATTTGTTGTCAGCTCAGTTTCCAGCAGCCTGAGTGCTGGATGGCCTCATGCAACTTTAATGAGGCACAAGGTAAGTGGAAATACAATGCAGAGAGGAGGTCAGCAAAATCCCTTCATCAATTAAATAAGATGGAATGACTTTAATTTTGGCGAGGGCATGTTATCTGTCTGGAAATGCACCTCATTGCCAGTTCAACCCAGAAGTGACACATGGGCTGCATGTAGGTGCTTCCCCAGAAAGATAAAGGTCCCGTCTTGCCTGTGACAGGACACTTCATTTCAGATGAGACTGACAGTCTCTGAGCTCCCCTGACACATGCATGTGTGAATTCCTTGTGAAGTCAGTGTGCTTGGAAGTGAGTGCTGCAGCCTTGTATTTCTGAGTGGCAGAGAAAGTATCATGTCAGCATTCAGAATAATTAATATTTGTAATTCCCTGCGAGACCTTTAATCTATTTGCCACAAAATATGCTACAAAACAGGGAGCTTAAGGTTTTTTTTTTTTCTCTTTGAGTGAGGAAACTGAGATGGACAAGGAGGTGTGGGATCTGCCTGTCTCCTCCCAGCTCTGACCCAGCACCTTTGGAGCACCCTAGGCCTGGCTGGGGAGATTGCTTTGTCCACCTTGTCCTGATGAAAGTGCTCTGTTATGCATTGGTTTGCTGTTTATCTCACTCCAGCCAGACAGTCCCTCCCTCCCCCCTGCTGTACTCAAAGCATGATGTAACTGGCTAAGTAGACCCCCCAGCCCACCCTCCCTCTGCCTTCAGATGCTCCACTGAAGGGGTTAATTTGTTTAAACCACGGTTGTTCTCATGAGTTATAGGCTGACTCCTGCCAGTGGAGTGGAAAAGTGATTTAATTTTCCAGTTCCAGCATGGCAGATGTGTGTGTGGGAGGGCTGTGAGAGAAAGGGGGGGGGTTGTTGTTGTTTGTAAGGTGACCGAAATCTGGTCCACCAGATTTAATCTAACCTCCTTCCAGCCTGCAGAGCTGGTGATGGCTGACGTGGTGCTGCTCTCGTGGTGGGGTGCACAGCAGGGTGGGGGTGATGGGACACATGGGGGGTCCCACAGGCAGTGGTCTGTGCTCAGGGGCAATGAGCTGAAGGGCAGGGAAGCAGAGCTGGTGTGAGACCAGCTCTCAGGAGAGGGCTGCTGTGAGAGCAACTCTTGGCTGCTCAGATCCTGCTTGGGATCTCCTGGAGGCCCCATATCTGCTCGATCTTGCTGTAGAATTAGCTCATCCCACTGCCCTCCCTGTGTGTAGGCAGGTGCCTCGTGTCTTGTGCCTCTCCAGGCTGTGGGGATTTGCACATTATTTGACTTGAAATGTGTCTTGCTTTAACACTCAGTCATGTGCTGTGAAGGTCAGAGCCCTGCCTTGAGCTTGGCCTAACAGGTGAAAAGCTGTGATAAAAAAATCCGGTGCTGGAAAGCTTTTCCATTTCTCCCTGTCTGTGCAGGTGAAATGCAGAGTGCGGGCAGGAGCTGGAGGAAAGTTAAATTTTATTTTGTTATTTATTTATTTATTTTATTTTTTTATCCTTTTCTTTCTGTTTTCCTATTAGAATAATCTGTTATTAACAGATGCTTTAAGAGATAATATTATTAGATAACGTTAATAGATAATAATCCTATTAGAATAATTAGAGTTACTCTGCATGAAACACAATCTTCATAAACATCATCTTCCTTTACTCTCACAAGTTAGTCTTTGCTTTGGATTTATTGGAAGGAATTGTGAGGAAACATGGAACAGTGTTTTTGTGATGTCTAACAGACGCTTCTTTACCATGTGCAGATGGAAATTCCTTACAAACGTGATGTAACAACAAAGGATGCAAATGTATGGCCACAGTGAACGGGAAATCAGTTCAGCAAAGAGAAACATGGTGTATTTGGTAGGAACTGAGGCTGTGAAGCGTCTGCAAACATCAGATGGGAACCACATTAATTCATTGCACAGGGGGTTCATTACTATATTTTGGTAAAGGTACTGCCTCTGAGTCATAACCAAGTGATTCCTGCCCGAACCTGCTCCATCCTCACAGCAAACAGGAGCACACGGTGGGGCCCGAGTGGCAGCAGGTGGCAAGAGAGGGTAACCTGGTTTGCAAATGCTGGGAAAGATGCTGAGCACTGGTTTGGGGTTACAGTTTAAAGCATAACTTGAGGCCATGGATTTGGAGACTCACATTCTGCTCTATCAGGCTGGAGATGTCCCGGCACAGAACGCAGAGCCTTTGTGTTCAGCTGCCTCGATCCATACAGGAGAGCCAAAGGGGAGATGCTGTTAAGGTTTGCCTCATTCCTGTTTGTAAAGCATTTCAAAGTCTCCACAGGTCCGTTTGGAATTGTGTGCTGGAGGTCCATGGTACCACCCATGGTCCCTGAGAGAGCTGCTCTCTCATGGTGTCTGCTCTGTGAGGCCCCTGAGCCAGACCCTGGTGCTCTGCACTGGGGGTGGT